AGGGTGCTCAGTTGGGAATGAACAACCAGCTTTGCAAGCTCCTGCTTTCTCTTCCCCAATTTGTCCCTACTGTCCACATGTCCAACTTGATGGGGGTGGGGGTTCTCCCAGAGCCCTCAGCCAAATCTGAAGAGGCCAGGGCTTCTCCAAAAGGCTACTGCCAATGCAGACACACCTGAGAAAGGAATGAGTGCATGTTCTCATACTGAACAGGAGCCTCGCAGCAACAAACTCATTTGGAGTCATGAACCTGCCTCTGGTCTCCAGAGCTACTCAAGCCTCACAGAGCAATGGAATTGGAGGAGTAAGCAGGGATTCAGAAGGGCAGGAGTTTGTCTGGGGAGTGAAGGCTGCCTCCTGGAGAAAGTGGTCTATGAGCTGAGGAGATTGCCAGTTCAAGTGGGACCAAGAGTGTTTATGAATTTTTAAGGCAGAGGGAATAGGATGTTCAAAGGCCCTGGTATGCAAGGAAGAAGGGAATAATTCAGAATGTCTGAGGTTTGGATTGAATGGAAGAGGGAAGTGGGATGACATGGGGAGATGAGACGGCATACATAGTTTATGAGCAGATAGTGAAGAATGCCAGAATCAGGTCCACAAGTCTTTTACTAGAGGAAGGAGCACCACGAAAGGGTTTTTGTATAGGAGAAACAGGACCTACACCCTTCCTCCTGCAAGCATGCAGAAGGTGGGCTGATTAGAAGGGGTAGAGATGCAGGGGTGGGCAAACTTTTTGACTCAAGGGCCACAATGGGTTCTTAAACTGGACCGGAGGGCCGGAACAAAAGCATGGATGGAGTGTTTGTGTGAACTAATATAAATTCAAAGTAAACATTATTACATAAAAGGGTATGGTCTTTTTTTTTTTTTTTTTTTTTTTAGTTTTATTCATTTCAAACGGGCCGGATCTGGCCCGCGGGCCGTAGTTTGCCCACAGCTGGACTAGAGGCTGGTTAGACCAGCAAGGAGGCTACTTCAGTAGTCCAGATGAGAGGTAAGGAGGGGCTGAACTTGGGGGTAGAAGCCTGAAACTTCTGGAAACTCTCTCTGGCTTATGTGTCCTCCATGGTGAGGAACTGGTAAGACTGTAATTACTGGGGGACTTGCCCTCCTCAGGTTTGGTTGTGCATGAATCCTGTGAGGCAAGGTTTCCTCAGTTCAGAGGATAATCACCCTACTTTCTGTCACCCTCACCCACCCCCAGTAGAATTGCTAAGGTAAGGGGCCCCAGCTCTATCCCAATGTGTGGCAGGCAGGAAGGGGTGTAGGGACTCAAAGAGCAGGTCAGAACCTGCCCTCTGTCAAAGGAAATATCCACCCTCCTAAGCCTTTCAGAGACTGTTTTCTTACAATTAGGTCCCGCTGTTACCAGGGCAACTAAGAACTCTGGGTTTTGTGTTTCTGTGTTTGTTGAATCCCTGAGGAGAAGTGGCCCACAGAGCTTTCCCTAGTCTGGGCAGGATGCAGGAACTGCTAGTGGGAGGTGGAGACACCCCACCCCCAGTTTGCGGGTAATCTCTTGCCTTGGTAATGCCTATTCTTATTTTATGGGAGGGGCAAGGGCTCCATGTGAGTCAGTTCTGATATTCAAGGGTAAGGTTTAGGCTTCTCTGAACCTGGTATCCAAGGGCCAGACTTCTGCATCCATCCTATGTCACCTCACTCTCAGGGAGGTGCAATCTGAGCAGGTGTCTAGCAGGGGCAAGCTCACACCAGACCATGAGATATTCTGGGATATTACACAAATGTTTTTTGATCACTTACTGTGTGCTTAGTGTGGGATCTCCAGGCTGGTTTCTGCTCTGGAGAGCTCTAAGGGAAGACTCAGAACCAAATTAGCCATTAAATGTCCCTGAGCTAGTTAGTCCCCGAGACTCTTTTCTGCACTGGGCTGGGCTGGGTATTAGACTTGCTTAGGGTGTTTTTTAGACATAGAAATTCCTAAAGATTCTGATTCCATCAGTGTGGGTGTGAGTGGAGGGTGCTGGTTAAGAGTTCTAAATACCAAACTGCTGGAGTTCACAGTAGAATTGTGCAAATGAAGCAAGTGACCTTGAGCTGTCAGTTTCCTCACAGAATGAATGAGGGGAACAGTGGATTCACCAATATTTTCTCTTTCTTCCCCCATCCCTTGGGAACAGGATTTTTATGGCCCTCAGTATCCTTGTCATTCTTCTACTGCCCCTATTCTTTTCTTCCTTCTCCTTTTCCTTTATTCTAATATTTCCTTACTCCTGGCATGCAAAAAGGTTTCTGTGAGGTGCAACCTGATCACCTTCCATTGGCTGCCCTGGACCACAAGCAAGGCCTGCCCATCTCTTGGACACCCTCCCCCACCCATTCTGCTGCAGCAGCCCAGGAAGGCATTGGCATTTCTGGCACCCTGTCTGCTGATTCATCTTGAGTCCCATCAACTGAAGTTCTCAGATTTCTTTTTCCACAAGTTTCTTCCAAGACTCATCTTCCCCACTCAGTCTCCTGCAGTTGGTTTCTGAACCTGACTGCAAGATCTCACATGTGCACCTGGCAAAGGTCATATCAGCACATCCTTCCAGGTTATGGAGATTAGAATTGTGATTCCATTTTGGAGCAGAGCCTCCAGTCCTCCAGGCTTCATATGATCTGCAGATGCCCTTAGCAGGCAACCTCTAGGTTTTCATTCAGCAGCCAACTTATTCACTCACTTATTCATTTATGTACCAAACTAGGGTTGAGAGCCTACTGTGTACACAGCCATGTGCTATGCCCCAGGGATCCAGCAGTGACTGTGGTCTGAGTAGGAATGGGAGTCAGTGGCAGGGCCAGACTAGAATCCAAGACCCTGTTCCCTATACTCATAGGGCTTCCAGCAGGGTTGGACAAGGCTCACCCTACTCTTCTTACTTTCCCCCACCTGATCTGATGGGCCATGAGACAATCTGGGGTCACTGATCCCTGCCAGCAATGAACATGAGAAACTCCAGGGGTGCTGGAGACCTTATCTGATACCAGAAGCAGAACAGGAAGCCCCAGTGCTCACAATGCAGCTCAGGCCCCACAACCTTGTACCTCCCCAGAGGACAGTCAGCCACACACTCATGCAAACTCATCACCACAAACTTGGTACTACCACTGCCTACCCTTCTCTGCAGCACATAACTGCCACCTGGCTGGTTCTCCCAGAGCCTCCAGAGATCATGCACCTGATGCAGCTCTTGTTGCTTGGGCAAAGGCCCAGAATCTAGTCAGGTTAAGGCTTGAGCTCATCAGGGGCTTCCTGGGAAATAGCATGGTGGATTAGAGTTGAAAGACTGTGAGTTTGGAAGTCACACAGACCTGAGTCCACTGTGGAACCTAATATCTCTAAGATCCAAGTCTCTCAGCTCTAAAAGGAGACACCTGCCTAATTGAGTTGTTGTGGGAACGAAATGAGATGATGTTGGTGAAAGTGGCACATGGTCAGAAACGCACTGGTTGCCTCCCTCCCTTCCTTCTGTCCTTTCTTCCTTCCTTCCCCTGAAAGGAGCAAAGTCAATGTGCCTCTGAAACTGGGCTTTGTATCTTGCTGCAGTTCTTTCATCTGGAGGGAAGGTGGGCAGAATGGGGCAGACCCGGAAGACAGTAGAACCTGTGAGTGGAGGCAGAGAGGAGCTGACTACTGGGCAGCTGCGGGGCTGAGAAAGAGCCACTTACCAGCTATAAACCTTGGGCCAGTGACTTCTCTTAAGCCTGTTTCCTCATCTCTAAAATGAGGGTAAATGAACTGGGATAATGGATAATCAAGTGTGTGGCTCAGCACTTGTACTTAGTAGGGGGCCCAATAAACCTTCCCACCCATTGTACCAGAAAATAAATTTCCAATTCATGGCTGGAAAACTTGAGCAAATCCAAGAATGGGGTTCAGTTTCTTCTGACCCACATGCTATGAGGGCAGTGAAATCTTGCTGGGAGGGTCTCTGTGTGTACTGTGGGGCTGTTTAAAAACTGCACCTGCTAGTTTACTGGTGTCACATAGCACCACCTAGTGCCCAAAAGTGGAAAGGCCCTCCTGCCTGCCTCACCCTGCTTGGCCTCCCTCCCCAGGGCCCGTGTGTGTGTGTTTGTGTGTGTGTGTGTGTGTGTGTGTGTGTGTGTGTGTGTGTGTGAGAGAGAGAGAGAGAGAGAGAGAGAGAGAGAGGGAGAGAGAGAGAGAGAGAGAGGGAGAGAGATGGGGGACACTGTTATAGGATGGTACAGCTGGTTTATATCCCAGTTAGTGGAGAACTAATGCTATTTTTCAAGATGCCTAGTCCCTCCACCTCCTTCCGATACAAATGCAGAGGACTGTAGAAAGGTCCCTTGAGCTTCACTAGGCCATAGTTTCCTCATCTAAGGATTTCAAGGCTTTAGGATAGGGTTGTTTCAGGCAAGGTGTCTGGTAAGTGCCTGATGCCTCTGGGTACCCACCTATGCTTGCTCAATAACCCAGACAGTCACTGTCTTTACACACCCTTTATATTTTTATTGAGGAGAAAGCTTTAGCATATAGAATGATTTCTTATCTTCACAACACAGTAATGCAACAATAACACATTTATTTCCAACCCATTTTCTCCCGAGTCTCTGGGAATCCTTGGGCTGCTTTCATACCCCTGCATGCGTTTTCCCCCACCCCGCTTTCAACCCAAGAAAGTGCCCATAACCCATAGTTTCTCTTACAGTTCTTGTGGCTATCACATCACAACAAACATTAAAGATCTGGGAAAGGGGGGAAGAGGGTCAAAGGGTAACCCGGGTCCCCTTGCCTTCAGAGGCCCAGGAACCAGCTCACTGCTCACCCACTCTTTCCCCGGCTAAGGCTACAAGGTCTCAGGGTGAGAAGCACCATAGGAACAGTCACAGCCTGTGCTGAGTCGTCCCTGGAGGTGGGGATGTAAGGCACCTGTCCTTTGCACTTCTCTGGCAGGGACATGAGCAGAAGGGCCATTGTGTTGACCATCAGCAAACAGGGTCCACAGCCTCGAAGAACAGTAATTCCCCTTCTGGAACTCTCTCCTGAGGAAATAGCTGAAAAACAGACAAAATTTTCTTTACAGTGTTGTTCACTCCTGCACTGGTGGGGATGGGGAAAACCAGGTTACTGAAATATCCAATGAATTAGGAGAATACCTCAATTATTCAGTGTGCATGACTGACTGCATAGGTGGCAGCCGTTTTAAATCCTGATTATGAGCTTGCAGGATGATCTCCGCTTTGAAAAGACATACTGAAAACACACTAGAAAGAAAGGCAGCAAATAGTACTTGCATCTGTGTGGTGGGGTTCTGAATGTTTGGGATTTTTTTTTTTGTCCTTATAGTTTTCTCTATTTTCTACATTTTCTATAATGATTATGCATTACTTTTCTCTTTGGAGGCGGAGGAAGCCTTTTTAAAAGGTAGCAACAGGTTATAAGAACCTGGCTCCCCTGGTCCCCAGGCTGAGAAATTTATGATAAACAAAACGGCTTCTTACCTTCTGCTGATGAGTAGAGACCTCACCAGCAACCAGCCAGCGAACTGGTCATCCTCCAGCTCCTTCCTCTTCCAAGCTCAAAATCCTAAGGCTGGGATGAGGCTATCTACCAGACTCCAGTGAGGAACAGAGGCTTGATTTACTCTGCTCTATTCCTTCTGACTACAGACACTTTGATTGTGCTTGCCCAGCTCAGTGTCAAGGGCAGTTCAGGCCAACAGTGGATTTGCCTAGAATTCTGTGGCCAGTGACATAGTTTCTGGACCCATGGCAAGCAGCAGGACTTTTTATAAGGGTCCCTAGGTTTGTACCCAGAAGTCCCAGGAGTTACTAGGAGGCAGTCGGCAGTCACCCTCTCCAGCCTTACCATCTAATTGAAGCCCAGCTTCAGGCTATGGCTTGCCCCCCATGTGAGAGACGTGAGGATGGCCTGGCTGACAGGATACAGTCTCTGTAGAGAGAAACTTCCTCTCTCTTCTGAGAACTATGGAATCCTTTAAGTTGAAGTTAAAGAGCAGGCCTTGGGCCCTCTCTGTCATTGGTAGTCCGGGAAGGAAAGGCCAGTTAGGCCTTCTATGAACCCCCAAAGATGGCAAGTCTCCTGCAAAGACCTTTGGCTGGGGGTTGCAGTCCAAGACCTGGCCTGGGGAGGAGACCACCATCCCTAAGGAAAGAGTCACTCCTCACAATGTCAAACTGAGTTGTTGCTGCTTTTTTCTCCTCTTCTTCCTCCTCCCCCATTTTCCAGGCAACACCAAGGAAAGGGGTAACACTGAGTTCTGTCCACCAGGGATGCCTGGGAGGGCAGTGTGGTAAGAAGAAAGGGCCCCAGATTTGGTGAGCTTGTCCAAAGACCCTGATACAGTAGTCTGAGGGAAGGTTGAACTAGCTTGCTCAGCCACCAAGGACAAACCTCAGTGAAATGTCCATTTGACAAGTAGCTTTGCCCACCCTCACTAGACTACATGTAGGGTCCTCTTTGGGCCCTTCTGCTGGAGGATGAACCAAGTGTAAGCTTCTAGGCACATTTATGGATCCCATCCTGCTCTCTGTTGATTATATCTAGTAAATGTCCTCAGGAGTTCAGTGTAGCCCATCCTTTCACTTATTGGGGCAGATTATTGAGGTATTGGGTAAAGCTCTGGTGAGCCAGTCAGAGTTGATAAAATCATAGAACACAGGGTTAGGAACAATTAGAGGGGAAATGCAAGGGGATGACCAGTTCATTTACGGGAATAGGCCCAGAAACCTGCTCACTAGCTTGTGGTAGGACTGAGCAGAGTGCACAGTCAAGAGGACAGCTATTGCTGAGCCCTCCTTTCCCAAGTGGTCATGGCTGCAAGATGGTCTGGAGTTCTACAGGCCTTCTTCAGGTTCTTCAGGTCTGGAACTCCCTTAAGTACTAGTCAGAAAAGGGGGCAAGGTGTGGCAGCAATAGCAAGTAGAGGGGGCGCAGTGGAAGGGTGTGTTCTGGGTGGCCATCTCCCCCAGCACTCACACGCGAATTCGGCCACGTGCAGCCCGATGGCCTCCTGTCTTGGAGTGAGGCGGAATAGTACTGGGGGCCGCCTTCGAGTTTGGCGTTGCACCAACCGACCTGCCCTGCGAATCAGTGGTGGTGAACTATAGAAGGGTGAATTGGTACCTGGAAGGCCCTCCAGCAGTGGGACTCGATTCTGGTTCCTCCGTCTGCTGGCCTGTATTATGGGAGGTGATGTATCTAGGAAATTTTCATAATAGAAGCCAGAAGTCTGGGATGAAGCATTGGCATAGGTCGGCATCACGTCCATGAACTCATCTAGGTCATCATCCTGGGCCTCATCCTCTGTCTCTTCCTCGGGTTCTGGCTCCTGCTCTGGCTCCTGCCCTGGTTCCTGGCCCTTATCCTCATCCTTTTTCTCACCCTCATTATTCTTCCTCATTTCTTCCTCTTTCTCATCTGTATCATCCACCACGATCTCGTCTTCATTGTCGTTGTCCTCCTCCTGGTTCTGTTATATCTCCTCCTCCTTCCTCATCTCCTTTTTCCTCTTTTCCTCCTGCTCCCTCATCTCTTGCTGAATAGCTCTCACATACCTCCGCTGGTCCTTGTGAAGCCTGCGCCTGTGCACCTCTGCATCTTCATCCTCACTGTAGCGCTCTTCTCCACTGCCCTCGACATTAGGGTCTGCAGCAAAAGGGAAGAAGATATTGCGAACCCCAGGGAGTGGGATTGGCTTAGGGACACGCACTTTTCTATCTCCACACATTCAAGAATCAGCTCATCCAGGTCGGCCATTTGAGTTGACCATAAGAGCTCCTTGCGGAAGAATTCTGAAAGGCCTTTGAGGAACTGGTTTTGAAGGCGGCAGTCATCCCAAGATAAGAATTGGGCCAGGAGCTGAAAAGCATCTGCATAGCTGCCTAGGGTACAGTTTCCCTGCGTAAGCTTGCGGATGGCCTTTTTCGCCACACTTGGGGGGATGGGGCCATAGAATTTCTTACGGATTTCATCCAGGAAGCGCGGGATGTTGGCATGCAGGGGGCTTCCTTCCTGGGTGACTGAGATGGCCCAGTCCTTGGTGTCACCAGTGAAAAAGGAAATCAGAAAGGCCACCTGCTCAGCACCCCCAGGGAAATGATCCTCCTGGTCGGCTATGAAGGTCTCTAGCCGCATCAGGAATTCCGGCAGGTAGACCGGGTCGCCTGAAAAGGGCTCTAGCTCAGGCCACTCCAGAGGCGGCATAGGAGGCTGCGGGGGCAGTTCCTTGGAGGCGGGCAGGGGCAGCACCGGCGCTGGCGGGGGCGGGCTGGGCTGCGGGGGAGGGTCGACCTGGCCTTCTGAGGTGCCGCAGTCCTGGATGGCGTTGACCAACAGCTCCTCTGAGGCGCGCTCGGGCTCCGTGCGTGGGGGAGGCCAGCACATGAAGGGCAGTTCGCCCTCGGGCTCGGAGTCTATCTCGCTGAGCGGGAACTCAAAGTTCTCCTCCGCTAGGACCGGCACTGGCCAGCGCACAAAGCTGGAGACATTGCCCCGCAAGGAATTCACCTCAGCCAGGGCTCTTCCGAGCTGAAGGCCCAAATTGGCATTCTCCCCGTGAAGGGCATTTAATTCTTCTCGCAGGGCCACGTTCGCCATGCGTAGGCTATTGAGGTTTCCTGACGCCTCGGACATCTGGACTCGCCCGGGGTCCTGGGTCCGCGGACGGGGTAGGGATGCGGGTTAGAGAGCTAGGCACTCGGAAGGGAGGCCGAAATGCGGAGGGGCACGGGAAGGGAGCCGTGGGTGCGGGGTAGGCCGAGCCACACCCACCGGGGCGAGCACGGCTGGCGGGTGGGCGGGCGCTGCGGGGCGCAAGGCCTGGCGGCGGGGCCTGGGGCGCGTTACCTGGTCCAGGGGACCGGAATGGGCGGACAGCGGCAGGAGCCCAGAGGCGCCGAGCGGAGGTCGCAGGCGGCGAGTCAGCAGCACTCGGCGGCACCCCAGCGGCTCTGGAAGGAGTAGACTGCGGCTCGATCTGTCGAGGAAAAAATGTTGCGGCTGCCTGATCCCTGCTTTTAAGTGCAGCCTCGCCCCGCCCCTCTTCTCCCCTCCTCCCGCTCCCCCCCACCCCCCGCCCCGCCGCTCCCACCGACAGGGGCGGGACTTCGGGCACCGTGGGCGCCCAGTGGCCGCCTCGCCCACCCTGGGCTGCGCCTCTCACTGACTCTCTCCTTCCCTAGCTGCAGCTAACTCGAGTCGGGAAAATGCGACAGCGACTGCCCACTCGAGGTCGTCATGGCGACAGCCAGTGAACGTGTTCCTCTCCTCAGGCAGGCCCCCGAGTGTAGAGGAGCTGCTTCGAGAGGCGCAGCTTAATCTCCAGAGCCTGTTGCAAGGTACCGAGAGGGTGTGGGGCTTCGTCTGGACCCACAGGCCAGATACGCAGCTGCTGGAGGGAGGCATTGAAGAAAGAGTACAGGGACCAGCGAGAAAGAAAAAAAGTTTAAAACCCATTGTAAAACAAAACACACATTTTCCATCTGTCACCTTCCAGACTCTAAATCACCACCACCACCTTTTTTTTTTTTTTTTTTTTAGCTCAGTAGCCCATGGGCGAAAAGAGGACAGAAACTGAGACAGGGCAAATGGTCAAACCATTTATTTCCAAAGACAGCTGGGTGAGAGACTCCCACAATGTGGCCCACATACCTCCCAGACATTCCCTTGCTACATCACCCATGCCTTTGGAATCCTGGCACCTGCAGAGTCTCCCTCTGGGATTCACTCATTCTACTCTTACATTAACCTCGTCCACGTATCTTCTGGGTAGCTACTGCTTCACCAAAGCAAGTCCAGTACACAGCACCCAGCGCTCACTTCACCCCGAATTCTCACTGTCTTTGAGCATATAGTGTGCAAAACTGGGTCCACAGACCCAGAGAAGCAGCCCAGTCAGGGTGCCTGAGCAGTCAGACTGCACCCACTAGGCAGATGGAGAAAACACAGACTTGGAAAACAGAGCTAGAATATAATTCCATTCACACACCTACTTAGCTGTGTGACCGTATGCAGATATCCACCCTTTCTGAGCTTCACATAAGTCATCTTTAAAGTGGGAATTCCAATTCCCTACATGGCACAGTTTTGTGAGAACTAAAAATAGGGCTTAGCAAGAGCGTCTTGCTGCTGGAGAGACCCTGATGAGATGCAACATCAACTCCTGGTACATGTCCTTTGGAACATGGGCTGAGCTAAGCACAATATTAAAGTTGATATGAAAAAAATAAGGTGGTCCCTGATAAGACCTTACAATATGAAAAAAATACACATTTACCAGACGGATTTATCCAATGTAAGTGGCAAAAGTATTAAAGCTCAGGTCTATGAGAGAGACTATTGGCGAGCTGCAAATACCTGGGTGGAGATTACAAGGGGCATGCATATATCCAAGTTCACTGAACCATATACAAATCTGTACACTTTACTGTTGGTAAGTTATAACTCAATAAAATAATACAAATAAAAATTAAGTGCTAAGTCACAGGCTCCATACCCCCTTTCAGCCCTCACATCCCATTCAGACCTCTTTTCTAAACCTAGAAGACCTCCTCCCTCTTCCCCACTCCAATCATTATACTTTCTTTAAAGTTCTATTCTTGCCTCCTCTAAGAAAACCTTTCACATGAGTTCTGCACTTTGCACCATTCCCTCCATAAGCACGCATATGAGGCACTTTGTACCATCCTGTTCAAGAGGATTTTTATAGTTCTGAACTGCTTTTCCTTGCATTTGTTCATTCATTTACTCTTTCATCTACTAGTCCTGGGTATATATTTTGTCCACCTGGCCAGACTGAGCTTGTCAGCATAAAGAACCATGTCTTTTGGGTTTCCAGAAGCACCTGGCACAGGGCTGGATCCCCAAGAGGTGCTCAATAGACATTTCTTGAGTGACCGTTAAATATGAAAAAATCATCTTATCAGCTCTCGTTTATTCATGCCAATGAAGATTAATACTGGTGGAGAATAGAAAGTGGCACACGGCCACCCAACTGGACTACAGCCATAATCCCCACCTCCTTGCCAGGGCAGTGCTTACCTTAGAGAAGCAAGATACCAAGGGACACCATGAGCCTTGTGTTCAGATAAGAGAGGAGCTACCATGCAGGAAAAGAGTCAGTGTGTTCTGTGGTGCCTCCGTGGACAGTTAGGACTGGGGGAGGAATCCAGAGGGAAGCAGATTTCACCGTAAGATAAGGAAAAACTTTCCTGACACCTGACAGCCCCAACTGTCCTTGGATGGAATCGGAGGCCTTGGGAAGAGGGCTGCTCCCTCCTCTGCAAGTGTGTGCAGAGGCTGAAGATACACGTTAAAGGGCTGCTGAGGAGGAAGTCTGAGCCCAGAATGGGATGTTGGACCAGAGAACCTTTGAGGACCCTCCTGACTCCAAGTTGTAATTCTTAAAGTCTTTGCTCAAATATGCATAGAGTCCTGCCTGTTGATTCCTTACTCTCACTTCCTTCATTTCGTTGGATTCTTTCCCTTCATTCGAATTCATCAGTTAAATGAAACCAATTCAAATCTTATGCATCCTTCTTATTCCCTGATGATGCCCCTGAAATTCTCCTTCTTTCTATGCCACTTCTTCCCTTTCCTCTCCTTCACCTACACTCCCCTGGACCTGTCACCACCTGCAGTGGGACTAAGATGCAGGAAGCCAGGCCCTTGGAGGCTTGAGTAAGAGTTCTTGACATTCAAGGGAGCACCCCATGTTGGACTTCCCAATACAAATCTCCTTGTGCTTCACCCAGGTCTTTTCCCAGCTAGGGTTGCAGAAAACCTGAAGAACTGGAGAGCTTTAAAGAGAGGGCCTTGCAGCATAAAGTAGCAAAAGGTGTCTGCACCCTGAGCCTCCACTCCAAGTTGAGCACTTAAGGAGTGGACCACAGACTCACGGGCTTAGTCCCAGAACCACCACAACTCAAATTTCTTGATTCTCTTTTCTCTTCGGCTCTCATAGTCCCAGGAAGTAGGCATTTTTCCATTTCTGAATCCAGAGGCTCAGAGGCCAGGACATATCCTAAAGAAATAGGGCAAGTCAGGCCTGGCAGCTAGAGCAGGAGCCCTGGCTCATGATCCCTCCCCTGCCCGGCACCTGACCATGGCCCCCTAGAGTTTGTATCCACTGTGCTGTTTTTCAGAAGAATATGAGGAGCAGTACTCAGAGGCCAGACTGCTGGGGCAGACCTTCCGCTCTGCTGATGAGGCCCCTGAGCCCACTCCCAGCCCAAGGCCCCAGTCTGCCAGGCGTCTGGAGTTTGTATTGATGGTGAGTTGCATCTTCCCCTGCCTGGGAGAGCCAGTGCAGAGCTCGCCCTGCACCCATCGACAGGGGATCTTGAGCTGCTTACATTATCCACTGGATACTGCTGCTCACCTCTGCTCACCAGCAGAGCTACCCTGAGGTCCAGCCCAGATGGGTCTTGCACAGTAGGTGTCTGGCCTGGCAGCCTGTCCATGTTCTCCTGCCTCCCAGATGAAGCCTCCAACCGGCCTGCCTAGACAGCCATCTTGTGGGCATGGCTCATCTCTAGTCAGGAGTACACCCTTCCCATCACCTTCTTTCCCAACAGCCTACAAAACAGCAGCTGAGCGAGGATGAGACTACCACCCAGGGTGTGAGGGCCCCTGAGGCCTCCCTGAGCCTGTCTACCACAGCCGACAAGCAAGTTGCCTGGAATACCCCCTTCCCTCTGCCCATCCTAGAGGAGAAGCGGTGGCTTCAGCCTTGCTCCACGCACTCTGACATTGTGCCCATCAACATCTCTGGTAGAGTTGCTTAGCACCACCTCTGTTTGCTTCCCTCCATGCCAACTACAGACCATCCTCTCCAAATGCACTAGATGCTGGGGGAGGGAGCAAGACTTTCTCTGCTACTGGCTCACCCTGTACTGTCAAAGTCATGGCTCTTGCCAGGGAATGGAGGCATGCAGAAGATGGGGCTATGGCTGCTCTTTCTTCACTCTACTAGCACTTCCACACTAACTGAGACCATCTTATAGCAAACAAAATGTTCTTAAAGAAAACTCTGAAACTTTATGAACTTGTGTGCTCTTTGGAGCATCCATGGATATTTAAAGTTTGTGAGTTATGTTTGGATTGGGGAAAGGAAACTTCTTTGCCAGAAGCCATGTTTGGATAGGAGTCTGAGGGAAAGTGTGGGGTTCAGAGTGCTGATGATAAAAGGGAGGCTCATACCCAGGACGCAGACCATGGGCCTGATGGCACTTTAAGTGGACACTCGTCTTCTAGTGAGATGGGTCTCCTCAACTCGCGCGTGGTAAGTGTTTAGGAAGGGAAGTAACAGAAAGGGACCAAGGCCCAAAAAGCCAAAAGGGGGCCAGTACTATCTCAAAAGTGGAGAAAATAATGTATGTAGCTTAGTTGGACGTGGCTTTGGGAACATGTGACACTTGTACCACACACCTTATTAATTCGTGCTCCACATTCCATTGGCTGTAAGTGGAAGAGGAGGAGGCTTGGTCATTTCAGAAGGAGATAGGGCCAGCAACCCAATTAAATCAAGACTTCATGACCCAAAGGGACCAGAGGCATCCTGTGAGCCAACATTGGCTTGTGGTATGCTGGGAAAAGTTGATGAAGATGATGAGGACACCTCTGGCCACATGTGGTGATGCTTTCTGTATATGGGGCCATCCAGCACCATTGGTGTCATCTCGGGAAATTAGAGGCAGAAAATAGAGCCCACAACCTAGGGAGACGTACTAAGAGGAGTGGGGGTGGAGAGAAGAGATTCACAAAGTGATGGTGGGCACTTTATTTCTAAACATATCTTACTCTCATTAAGGCTGGCCCTGAGCTTTGCCCATGTAGTCACTTGTGGGAGGGGGGTGCCATATGCAGCTGTGAGGCTGAGAGGGGAGGGTTTGGTTAGCCAGCTGTTGAATGAGAGACAGTGAGTGGAGCAACATACTCACCCTCTGTCTCACCCTGCCCCTGTCCCAGCAGTTCCTCAGGAACAAAGACTGACCCGGTGCTTTAAGAGAAATAGATCTCAGTCACTGCCCAGGGGCGAACTTTGACAAAATGTAATCAAAGGTGGCTGGAGGACAGACTATCAGGCTGCTTCCTAGATGAAGGGGGGAGGCAAGACAGCTTCTGGGAGACACTGTCCTCTGGCCCACGTTAAGGCTTCTTTTTTAAATATATTTTTATTGATTTTAGAGAGAGGAAGGGAGAGGGAGGGAGAGACAGAAACATCCATGAGAGAGAAACATCAATCTGCTGCCTCCTGCATGCCCCACACTGGGGATTGAGCCTGCAACTCGGGCATATGCCTTGACTAGGAATCAAACCATGACCTCCTTGTTCATGAGCTAACACTCAACCACTGAACCACACCAGCCAGGCTAAAGGCTTTCTTTAAGGAAAGATTACAATCAAGCAATATCTAATCTGAACCTGTCTCTCTAAATCAGTGGTTCCCACCCCAGGCTGTACATCTGAATAATCAACTACCTGGGAAGTTTGAGAAATAGCTTCTACCTGGGCCCTCCTCCCAAAGACTTCAATATTCTGGGGTGGGGTTCAGGTATTGGAATTTCAAAAACTGCTCAGTTTATTTTGATATGTGGTCAGGATTGAAAATCATGGCCCTCAGCTACCTAAGACTCACAGGTGACCCTGGGTGTGGCCTATGTGTGCCTTGGGGCTCTGGGTGTCTGGGGCCATGTTGGGAGGGATATGGAAGAAGGGCCACCTGCCTGGATGCTATTCATGCTCATCGCTACTGCCATCATCCCTTCTCTCTACCTCAGGCCCATTTCCACTGTACTGTAAACAGAAACCAAGATGCACCCAAGTGTCTTTATTTTGGCTACAGGGCAGCAGTTCGATAAACATGCAAGTTTGCGACACTCCTTGTTTAACACAGAGACAGCCGTGAACCCCAAGTCCACCCTGAGGCGGAGGCGGACCATTATTGGATTCTCTAACTTTTCACAGCAAGACCAAGGTGACCTCACCACAGCTGATTCCCTGGGCCATTCCCCTTGCTCTCTCCCACCAGTCCTGCCACCCGGTGGTATTGCAGTTATGGGGAACAAGAATAATTTGGGGGATGGGGCTTTGGATATCTTGAAAAAAGCCAATGTAGTGATTAAAGATAGCCAAGGGCCTTTGGTCAAGGAGAGCAACCAAATATGAAGAAGAGGTCTCCCAGGCTATAAATTCATTGTTTCTCATTATAATTGGAATATAACCATATATGTTGCTTAGGCAAGTAGGTAAAGGGGGGAAGCATCACTAAAGAACCATCTTAGCAGAACCATTATGCTGTTAAATTAATGCTGTCCAAAGAGCACAGGCCTTGGCCAGGTTATATAACCTCTCTGAGCCTCAGCTTCTTCATCTATAAATTGGGGATAATGATGCCACCTAGTGGAGTGGGGAGTTGCCATGAGGATTAGAGTCATTGTATGTAATTTGCCTACCATGTGCCTGGTACATAGTATGTGTCAACAAAGGGTGACTGTTATTATAAATTATCATAGCAGTAGAAGGCGCAATAATAATAATGATAGAGCAATAATAATTGTGTGTATGAGAAATCTTGGGGGATTCTGAACATCTGAATGGTTGCCTCACATCTGTAGGTTATCTTAAGTATCTCATGTTGCAAAGCTAAAAAGAGTCAGGTGCCAAAAATGCAACCAGACTCTGGGCTTTCCAACGGTGGCTTACTCCAAATCCGGGCTGAAAGTCACACAGTGCTGTCCTTTATGTAGTTCAAAAACTTCTGCTTTCATCTCAGGAGAGATGAACTCTGAGGTCTGTGATGCCTTCATGAGCCTGGGGTGAAAGCCCCGAAAACCCAAGGTAGTCCCACCTGCCACTTCATCTCCAAAAGGAATAATCAGAGCTAGAAAGTCTTTGGCAGCCATCTGGATAATTCAAGGCCACCCTGTGACTCACCATGTCATGATGGGCAAGGACCCAACTTCCCCCGCATTCCTATTGATGGAAAGGAAGAACCAAGAATTCTGTCCAAGTTGTTGGCAAATGCTTCTTGGCAAAAATTTGGTGCTTCCGGGGGATCCCTGGCAGCACCACTAATGTTCTGTGTTTCCCTCCTCCAGGTCTCAGCAACAGCCCCACAGGCAGGTTGGCTTGCTCTACCAGCTCAGACATCAAGCCCAGTCATTCTGTTCCAGAAGGTGTTCATGGAAGAGTTGCCATTGGTGAGGAAGCTCATTTCCCAAATCTCACCTCACCAGTACTGAGAAAGCCTTCTAGTGATCCTGACGAACCTCTCCAGGTGCGTGGTGGCACCAAGCCTCCTGGCATGGAAAGCATGGGAATGGTGTATAGCGTCTCCAGTTCTTGCAATGGACCAACAGAATCTACATTCTCTGCTTTGTGGAAAGGAGATGCTTTCACCTATATGACTCCAAGTGCCACCAGTCAGAGCAATCAAGTCAATGAAAATGGAAAAAATCCTTCCTCTGGGAATTCATGGGTCTCTCTGCACACATTGCCACCTCTGGTTCCTAAGGAGGCTGCTGCACTCTTTGTCACTCGTGATAACCCAGCAGGATGCAGTGGATCAGCTGGCTACTCTGAACACCCTACACAACAAAGGCAAGTATCAGAGCGACCCTTCAAGATTGGCCTTCTGACTGGTGGCACCTCAAGGCTGGATACAGGCCCAGGTGGGGCCAGCAGGTTCCGGGAGCGGTCACTGTCTGTACCTACAGATTCAGGCACCACAGATGTGGACTACGATGAGGAGCAGAAGTCCAATGAAGCCTGTGCCTTGCCTTATGCCAGTACAAGTTCTGAGGGCAGTAACAGTGCTGACAACATTGCCTCCATTAGTTCCCAGCAGGAGGCCCACCACAGAAGGCAGAGATCCAGGAGTATCTCACTCAAGAAGGCCAAAAAGAAGCCTTCCCCACCAATGCGCAGTGTCTCACTGGTCAAAGATGAACCAGTCCTCTTGCCAGAAGGTGGGTCAGCACTATCCAAGGACCAGAGGCCCAGGAGCCTTTGCCTCTCCTTGGAACACCAAGGACATCATTCATCCCAGGGTCACCCAGCTGTGCCCACCTTCAAAGACCCAGAAGATACACAATTCTCCCACCACTGGTATCTTACTGACTGGAAGTCTGGTGACACCTACCAGTCCTTGTCCAGCTCCAGCACTGCCACTGGCACCACAGTTATTGAGTGTACCCAAGTTCAGGGCAGCTCAGAGTCTCTTGCCTCCCCTTCCATCTCCAGAGCTACTACACCTTCCCAACTCTCCATTGAGGTAGAGGCTAGGGAGGTACCCTCTCCAGGAAGGCCCACTGGGCTGATGTCACCCTCCAGTGGATACTCCAGCCAGTCGGAGACACCAACACCCACTGTCTCCATGTCCTTGACGCTGGGCCACTTGCCTCCTCCAAGTGGTAGTGTCCGGGTACGTCCAGTGGTACCCGAGAGGAAGTCATCACTGCCCCCAACATCGCCAATGGAGAAAATTTCAAAGTCACGATTATCGTTTGACCTACCACTGACCTCTTCTACCTACCTGGATCTGTCTGGGATGAGTATCTCCATACGAAGCAAAACCAAGGTGAGCCGGCATCACTCAGATACAAATTTTGGGGCCAAGTTGGTCCAGAAAACTGGCCCCAACCAGCCAATCATGCCCATGGTTACTCAGTCTGATCTACGTTCTGTCCGCCTCAGGTCAGTAAGCAAGTCTGAGCCAGAAGATGACATTGAGAGCCCTGACTATGCTGAGGAGTCGGGAGAAGTCTTCACCTTGCTAGAGAGAAAGATGAAACCTCCCATAGCTGAGAAACCCCCACTGGCTCGAAGGCCTCCAAGCTTGGTCCACAAACCACAATCTGTCCCCGAGGAGTACCCACTAACTTCGCCTACATTGGCTATAACCCCTAAGAGCTCAATTCAATACATGAGGCCATTCCCTCCAGACATCTACACGGTGGTGAGGAAACCAAAGTCCTCTAGCTTCCCTGAGGCCAGAAGCCGAGGGGAGTCAACAGCACCCTCAGCTCTTGTTTTTACACCTTTTGCCAGTTCCTCTGGTGCTTTCTGCTCAGAAAACCAGCAACCTCCCCAGGGAAGTACAGAGGATGAGGGCTCTAAGGTGAGAGCCCTGCCTGAAAGAATTAGCCTCCAGAGCCAGGAACAAGCTGAGAAGAAGAAAAGCAAGATTCCACCTCCTGTACCAAAAAAGCCCAGTGTGTTATACCTGCCTCTCACCTCACCCACAGCTCAAATGGAGGCCTATGTGGCTGAACCAAGGCTGCCTGTCAGCCCCATCATCACCCTGGAAGAAGATGCCAAGTGTCCCCCAACTGGCGACCACCTGCAATCACCTGGTACAACAAGGACGACTACCACCCCACAGGCTGATGATGGAAGGGAGGCAAGCCCTTCAGGTTAGTAAACTATCTGATGGCTTTTCCTTTCAATCCCAGGAGAGATGATGGTGAGAATGTAGTGCCAGAGACAGAAGCCAGTGCCCCATGATCCTGACTCTGAGATGACCAAATTAGTAGGGGCACCTCTTGAGAGTTTGGGTTACTCTAAATAGGTCTCACTGCTCTTGGGATCAGGACTGAACCAGGGGTAGATCTCCAAAGCTCAGTTTGAGGCAACCTACTCTGGAACCCCCAGTGCAGAGATAATGAAATTAAACTAGGCCTTAGCACCCTAGGACCTTAGAAGCCCATTTACCTAATCAGGCATGTATCCCCTGCTCTAGGAACTCTCTACCTCACTGTACAATACTTTTGACTAGCCACACTGAATTTAGTTTCTGGCATGGGACTCATATTCTCCCAGGCTGAGGTCAAGTGCCAAGGTGGGCTTGCAGGCTTCTGAAGCAATGCAATATATTACCACCAGCAGACTTTCTTAGTGCTTTTAAGAGGAAATAGAGCTCACTTTCTTGGATGGTTAGCTCTTTCTGGAACAAGAAGACTAGGCTAGATAATATTTCTCATCTTTTGGGGGGGGGGGTTCCTGTCTCTTTTTGTTTTCATTGTGGCAAAATACACATAACAAAATTTACCACCTTAACCATTTTTAAGTGTACAGTTCAGTGGTGTTAATTATATTGACAATGTTGAGCAACCATCACCACCATCCAGCTCCAGAACTCTTTTCATTTTGCAAAACTGAAGTTTACAACCATTAAACTAACTCTCCATCACTCTATCCCTCCAGCCCCTGGCAACCACCATTCTTCTTTCAGTCTCTGAATTTGACTACTCTAGGGACCTCATATAAGTGGAATCATGAAGCATTTGCCCTTCTGTGACTGGTTTATTTCACCTAGCATAAAGTCCTCCAAATTCATCCATGTTTCTCACTCTTTTTTGAACTCTTAACACCAAAATATTTTGGCCTTCTTTAAGCTGATTTGGACTTTCAACATAAAGTAAGTCATTGTGACTAAAACATGCAAACAAATCAAAGCCAAAGGTAATTTTAGAATATTCGTCCTTAAACTCCAAAGGCTCCCTCTGAGATTCAGACAAGTCCCACTCCCACCATTGACTGAGTCATTGCTTAATTGCTCTCAGTTCCTTGATCTTTAAAAATGACACATTTAAAATAAGAAAATGCTCAATCAACCTATTGTAATGGAAGAGGCATGAGAGAATAAAGTCCTAGGCTTGACCTTTAGCACTGAGTCCACCTTGGCCAAATCACTAACCTTCTGAACATCATGTTCTTTGCAAAATGGAGACCTTAAGAGTCTCTGTCCTGCGCCCATTAGTAAATGGGTGGACAGAGTTGCTTTGAACATCAAATGAAATACAGATGATAATGTGCTTGATCCTCACTATTGTGGTCAAAATAATTCCTTCTGGTTCTTATACCTAGGGAGTATTATGGAACCAAGTACTGAAGAAAAAAGTGTTATCAGTGATAAAACAGCTGAATGGATTGCAGAAGATGATGATGATGTGTTTGTGGCTTCACGTACAACTGAAGATTTATTTACTGTGATACACAGGTCTGGCCCAATTTCCTTAATTCCTATTGTAATCACCTTCACTTTGTATACCAAAAGACAAACTGCTATCTCTAAGCAGCCATTAGAATTGAAACTAGATACTTAACTCCAGATACCCACATATGTGAAAGCAGTAAGGGCCTCACATCGCCAATTCACTGACATCTTTGGATGAAGTGGAGGAGGGGTGGGAAGGGGAGGACCAGGTGCCAAGAGAGAGGACCCTCATCTCCTAGCAACCAAAGGACCTATTGTGGCTCTCTCTGCTCTCCTACAGCTTTGTCTGCAATAAGACATTTAACCATTCATAGAATTCCTTGTACCAAAAAATCTGATCAAGAAGTGAAGTGGGGCATCAGGCCAAGTATCAGAGCAAGAACTTAGGCAAAGGGAGACCGGATGGGGACCCAGTTATTGGACCGGGACACAAAGCAAGGGCTTGGTGGGGAGGAAACTGGAAAAGACCCAGTTGTTGGAGCTAGAGCACCAGTTCAGAGCAGGATCAGCTTCCAGGCTGCCTTGATTCAGAGTCCCTGAGCTTCTAGCCTTGACTCCTTAAATTCTTCTTGGGTCCCAGAACCTGGGCAGGACTGAGCCTGCAGGCACAGGCCAATGACTCCAGCTGCAGGCATTGGGAAGAGTGAAGGGTCACCCAGCTGGCATGACTCAGTGGTTGAGTGTCAGCCTATGAACCGGGAGGTCACAGTTCGATTCCCAGTCAGGCACATGCCCCAGTTGCAGGATCAATCCCCAGTAGTAAAGAGCGTGTGGGAGACAGCCGATCAATGATTCTCTCTCATCATTGATGTTTCTCTCTCTCTCTCTCTCTCTCTCTCTCTCTCTCTCTCTCTCTCTCTCCATCTCCCTTCCTCTCTGAAATCAATAAAAATATATTTTAAAAAAAGAAAAAGAAAGTGAAGGGAGATGGGGCCAGACAAGGGAGCCCAAGGACTCAATGGTGAGAGAGAAAGCTGGTGAGTATAATTGCTTGCAAGGCTGCTGCGTAGAAGTTCCCAGATCATGTCACTGGCATTCATGAAGTTATATGAAGCATTAGGAAATGTCCACCACACGAATTCACTCAAAGCAAACCTTCTCTTATTTAGGTCCAAAAGAAAGCTGCTTGGCTGGAAGGAGCCCGGTGAGGCCTTTGCCGGAGGCAGCAGACCAAGCTCCCACTCACCAATAAGGAACACAGCTGATTCTCCAATTAGTGAGTCAACTGCCTCTGCAGGGTCAAGCGGCAGTATCAGCCTAGATGCTGGCAGAAACGATGATTTCAAGGCCTTGCTACAAAAGAAGGGCAGTAAGGCAACTCCAAGGTCCCGCCCCTCAGCAGCAGAACTGCTGAAGACCACTAATCCACTTGCTCGGAGAATTATTGCACAGTTTTCAAAAGACTATGACACCACCGATAGTCCCAGTACCTAAGCCCTGAGTTGAGCAAGTAGGGATCAGTTACTAAACTTGAGTATAAAAAGGGGAAGAGGAAGGGTTCTAAAAAGAAACCATGGAAATAACAAAAAAGCCTACATTTCTTTTACTTAAACTCACACTCCGGACAGCAGGAGAGAGACCACTTTATCTAGAAATCATCAGGCACTTTAATCATACGCAGACATTTTATGTTTTCATACTTAAAATCTTGCCATTATTGACTACAGATTTTCTTCTTATTTTCTGCCCATGGTGTGCACCAAGAAGAAATTCTCAGATGCAAGGGCACACATGCATGTTTTCAATGAATGACCAGCTACTCCATCCCTGGCTCCTATTACTAAGGAGAACAGTGTAAGAGCAGATTGGAGGCTGTCAAACCTGGGGAAATAGGGAGCCGTTGCTGATTATTCACTTCCTTGGTGAGGCCTTAATGACTTGTGTGGAGAAACAGAAAGACTCTGATGCCTCTTCAACCACAGTTTAACTCTCTTCCACTGGGTTTGCAGGTGTGCACTTATTTCGGCATGAGTTGATTGGATGGCTTTTGTGCAAAATATGAATGTTACTTGGCCCTGAACTTCATGCCTTTTTTAGTTTGATTGTCTACACGGTGATCAGGGTGATGACGTTCGATAACATACAGACCCTTCCCCCACACACACCCCTTAGCTAGAAGAGGTCAGAACCTGGTTACTTTGAATGAAACAAGCTCAGCCAACAAACAAGGCAGCCATTTGTCCACCCTGATCTATCTGAGGTAACTTGCACGCATGCTTTCAGACCCTTCTATGGGTCTGAAGCTAAACAATGATAGCTAAAATCTGTGCCCAGCTTATGCTGCATTCAAAGAACTCTCATTTCATTGGCATATAAAATTCATTACAGTAAGTAATTAGCTGAACTAATGGCATCACCAAAGGCTCAAGGAGTAGAGAAAGTAAGTGTAAACTTGCCCACCACCGTTCAATTCAGATTGTGGTTTGTGGTTGGTTGGTTTTGTTTAAAGCAAGTCTTACTATGGTCCAGAACTGAGAATGCATAAACTAAAAGGATATATCCAGAATCTAAAAGGCAGCTTTGCAAGTTGCTTTGGCCCATAATACAAAAAAGGCCTAATTAGTTAACCATGTGGGGAAAGAGGGTAAGAGCTGGGTAAATAGGATGCTGATGGAGCCCCAGAACAATCATTGTGACTCCTCCTGACCGCTCCCCCTCCCAAAGCTAATATGCACTAACTCTTCTTGTCAGCTCAATTTTCTAATCAAAACCAGAGCAATGATTCATTTGATTTTCATATGTCTGGTTTCTGGGAGGTTGGGGGAAAAACAGACCAAAATTGAACAAAGAAAACTGGTTGAGCAATAATGGAGAGGTAACCGTCCACTGTCCAAGGAGGGGAAAAGAAGTCAAATGAAATAGTAGTCTGTCTCACAAAGAGGGTTCCCTTACCCTTTACTTCTTCACGCCCTGCCCCAACAGATTCATTGGTCAACTTCCTAGAGGATGCAGAAACTGCCCCAGAGACAAGCAGATCTTAATTTTGATAGATCGTGTTGCTCACCAATAAGAAGCAAACTCTTAGCACAACTGCCCACACTCCAGAGAACAGAGCAGCTGAAAAACCACACTGTGTGCTGAAAAGACTTAAGCCTCTCACACAGAAGCCCTGGGCCTAGGCACTTGGTTGGTACAGGTCTGAATTCTAGACTTCTGAGTACAGGCCAGACCCACCCACTCCCTTGAAATCAGCACTTTCCCCTGATTTATACCAAAGCCACTTAATATAATAAACAACAAAATCCCAGCTGCTTTGTAAAGAATTCAAACTATTTGGTTTGTAGTATGGATGTTGATGATAGAGAGCAAGTCATTCTCAACATAACAGAAGGACCTGACTAAATTTCAGGGGTTTTACCTGAAATAAAATAGATTCATTACTAGCCTTAATTTATATATGATTGCCACACTTGTCTGTCCCAGTCTCAGAATTCCAAAAGATGCAAACATTTTGCTCTGTAAGGAAATGAAGGAGAGTTTGTGCTTTTGCCTAACAAAGGTAAAGAACAGCCAGGGCCTTCTTAAGAACCATTATGAATAGCTGAACTCTAAAGCCAAGTATAAGACTCACATTGTTTAGGACTTGTTACTTCTGCTAATTTTTCTGGAAGCATCATGTTTGCTACTTCTAGTGGGTTTTGCCTCTCCCCTCACCTTGCTATCTCTAGTGGTTTCCCCAAAAGATTTTAAGCTAAATGCTGTGATACCTTTATATTTTCCAATTACATTGTGTCTTACTTTCCTCTACAATAATCTGTATGCCTGGATTTTTTAGAACATCTTCTACATCATCACTCTGGCACTCAGATGCTCAGTGGTGTTCCCATTAACACAAAAGCATTTGGGGCAAAGATTTTATGGTCAGAGGTAACATTGAGGACTGGAAATATTTACTTAATGTTTTATAACAGGTGGACCTAGTTCCAAAAAACAACAACAAACTACTATTTCTACCAGTCATCGATGAACAGAACACTGAACATCTTTCTACTCCTAACACTCAACCTCTCTCCTCCCCCTTGATTATCGTAACAGCAACTCTCTCTCCCACCTAGGCGCATACCACGGTATTTGCTGCCTTCTGCACCTACTCTGCTGAAACGGGAGAAGGGAGGCTGAAAGCCCCTCCAGAAAGGCTTTCAGAGAACCTACTACTGCCACTATTACTAGTGTGAAAAATAACAATTTTTGAAGGTGGAATACAGAAGAGGTGCAAGTGAAATGAAGTTGGCCCCAGGAGGTCAACTAACAATTCAAGTTGTTTCTGCCCCTTTGTTTCCTCTGGTTCCAACTTATAGCAGCAAGTGGCTCTGCTAGACTGACTTCAGTCCCATCAGGAGAGCAGGAAGTCATCTCCAGGAGAGGTTAGTTGGTAGCTAAGAGTGCTTTGCACTTATTTGTGGTATGGATGTTGAGGATAGAGAGCAAGTCATTCTCAACATAACAGGCAACTTCACTGGTATCTCTTCAACTTTGTCTGCTTCAGTTTCTCTCCTGGGCCTTCCACCTGGCCTCAATTTGTCCCTTAGCTGCAACCCCTGTAATTCGCTTCCCTAGCTGACAGCTTGCCCTTTAAAAAAAAAAAAAGAGCAAGACAGCAAATTAATTCATGTTAGCTTAATGACCACAAATTGAGCAGTTGATCTGGAGACATTACATTGAATCTACAAAGACAGATGAGATTCTACAAGCATTTTACCAGACATCCATTCTAACTCTCTAGAGCAGGGGTGGGCAAACTTTTTGACTCGAGGGCCACAATGGGTTCTTAAACTGGACCGGAGGGCCGGAACAAAAGCATGGATGGAGTGTTTGTGTGAACTAATATAAATTCAAAGTAAACATCATTACATAAAAGGGTATGGTCTTTTTTTTCAATAGTTTTATTCATTTCAAACAGGCCGGATCCGGCCCGCGGGCCGTAGTTTGCCCACGGCTGCTCTAGAGTCTAGACAACATGGATTGGGTTGCTATCTCACTGTATCATCAGTCTGAGCAGATCTGGCCAAGCACCTGCCCTCGTCCTCATAAATGAACTATTCTCTAAAAAGACGAGTTCATGATCAGTGCTCTTTTCCTCGCCACTGCAGCCTTTCATTATCACCAGGTCTGTAACACAGTGGTGAGCTTTCACTTTAATATGATTTGCCAGAGCCAGGACTAGAGTGAGGTGACTGAGGCGCCTGGGGCGCAAAATTTAAGGAGGTGCCCACTCTCAGGGCTGTGCAAGTGCCTTACCCTCGTCCTGGCCCTGCGATTTGCACTCCATAAAGTATTATCACTTTATCTTCTTCCAATGAACAAGCATGGTTCTTCTCATTTGGGGGGTAACTCGCTATAAGTTGTATCAGATGTTTTTATTGCTATCTGTTTTTCACTGCTATAAATCTTCGTATGCTTATACATAAAAGAATCTTCATTATTATCAGGAAACATGATTGCTTTCTAAGTAATTTTCTCCAAGTGGCAAGTCAGTGCCCACTTTAGAAAGGAATGCTGACAGGATAGCCCATCAGCAAAAGAGTGAATGAGTTGGAGGTCTGTCCTTGGAATCCTCGCTTTTTCTGTTCCATTCTCCCCAGACCTTGCTTCCCAGCACCAACTCTTCTGAGTGCCTCCTAGTTTGCTCTCTTCCTAGTTAAGAAAAGCATGCTCTCAGGAAAGGAATACATTTCTTTACTTTGGGGTTATAAGGCTTAATGCTACCTCTTTTGAAGGTCGTTTGCAGTTTAACAGGGGAAAAGCCTTATGCCAAAGGAATGAAATTCTACTGTAGAATTTTAGGCATCAATTAGTTGCAGAAGTGGTGTGGGTTTTTTTCACCATCAAAAGGCCAAATTACTTGACAGCTAACTCCAGAATATAGAAAATACCTTAATCTTCTGGAATTATTTTAGTAAATTACTGGTAATCGATTCAATCTTCCTGATACCTAGTGCTGTTCAATATGGCTCCTACCAAGAGACTCTCAGAAATGCTACCAAATGCCACTGAAAAGGCCTAGATAATTCATATTGTACATTAACATTTTCTCACAAGTGGAATTAATACTATTTATCATTTGAGTAAAAACAACAAAGGAATTTAAATAGTTTGTGAAGGTGTGTCCTGTTTGTGAAAGGTGAAACTGTCCAATATTGTCTGATCAATATCAGTTGTCCAGTATTGGTGGTGATTATTAAACTTATTAGAGGTACAACTTTATTGATCACAAGCCTCTGCTTCCTGCCATCTGTTTTGTGCTATCACTTCAGCTTGGTGTGAGAATGAGACCAGATCTATACCACAGCACCCAGTCCCTCCAAAACCTTTGTGTGTATTCCATCTATAAGTGATTAAGGATTTAAAAGGACAAGAGAGGGGAAAAGTGGTACAAAGAGCTGCTTTTGTCAAAGGGCAGCAAAAAATATAATTACTTAAACAATGACATTAAAGAAATAGTTTTAGAATACTTGGAAACAGATTCATAGAGGAATACAGTAGTAAATTGTTATAGACACCCATTTGAGATGCTTTTCATATGTTTAGGAAAAAAGAACTTGCATAAGTAATGGTTTGTGTGAAATCGGTATATACTTTGTTCAGTAAAGCCCCAAATTTAAACCAGTGGCTATCAAAGCGTAATCCCAGGACAAGCAGCCCTGGGATGTTTGTGTGTGTGTGTGTGTGTGCGCGCGCGCGCATGCGAGCATCTATTCCAGTGATGTTACTTCTTCAAGCCCCTGAATCACTATAGCCACGGCTCTCCAAATGATTCCAACCTCCCCATCATTTCTGCTATCATCAGAGTGATCAGTCTCTGGCTAAGTGATATACTTTGTCATGTTGGTCAGGTATATGTTGCTTAGTGTTAAGAAATTATCAGATCAAATCAACTACTTGCTCAACCTGCAAAAATACTTTATTTAACTTAGCCAGCATATCTGGCCTGTTTTTTACTTAAATTTTTTAAATTCACAAATAGGAAAAAGGAAAAGATGTTATATTTGTTTGGTATTGACAATGCTTAAATACCTGTCTTCACCATGCTGGTTGTTCTCTAGAAGGGCTCTGGCAGAAGTATAGTTGATTTTAAGATTTTGACTAAATAATGGAATTTTATATCAACAAATCCTCAAACAAAATATGAACTGAAACAACCAGTTAACCCCTCAACCTCTCTTTAGTGCCAAGCTTTATAGAAATTTATTCCTTATGTGATGTTGAGCTTTTTTAATGTCCAATTTTATAAAATGTTATGCATGCAAACAAAGCATCGTGCTCATTATACAAGTCACCCCAAACTCATTTCCTCCTCCGTATGTATGATGGTGAAGAAATATCAATATGTATGTTCTTATCTCTCCTGATCAATTGTAAATTGCAAATCTTTTCATTAATTTTTAAATAAGATATATTTACTCTAGCTAGTAGTTAAAATTTTATTCTTTTTATTATATATTTCATTGCTACTTTTTTCTACTGACTCCAAAACTTACTTTGGGGAATATTTCTTATTTCTAGATTGTTGTATTTATCTTATGTCTATATTTATCTGTAATCATGGAATAATAGAGCTGAAAGGAACCAACTTCTCATTTTACAGATGAGGAACTGAGGCCCAGAAAGGTTAAATAACTTAGATAAGGTCACACAGTGGTAGGGCCCAGCCTCAATCTCAGGTCTCCTGCCTATGGGTCCAGTGCTTTTCCATTTAAAGTACGACATTTATAGAAGACCCACAGCTGGCTTCTACTTTTATGACACATGAATTTCCCAGATATTTCAGTGAAATAATATATATGCTTTAATGAAAATGATCAAGAGTTCTTTAGTTCATGAATCCAAAGACAAATTTGATTTTCAGTTTAGAAATAGTAATTCCTTCCAAATTCAGTATATGTGCTCTACTTTGTACAATGGATGTTTTCCTTCAAAGTTGTTTGAAAAATTACTGTTTGGGATAAAATTCCATATTTTAGAAGAGAAGCTTCCTATGTAAGGGAATCCTTTGGTGATTTCTTTTGAAAAACAAAGAATCCTCTTGTCAATGTCTCCTAAAAGCCTATACTTTTTTAAAAATGTGAACTTTTGTAATTGGTGTTTATTTAAAGTAGGGCAAGCCAATATAGGCTTTCCTAGAATCTACTTTATCCTTCCTTTCTTAAACTTTGTGAATTTTTTCAGACTGTTAGATGCTCATGAGATACTTAGCTGTGCTCTAAAAACTTTACCTAACTCGATATTTTGTCAATCCCTGGGCTCAAACTGTCGCCATCTTATCAAACAATAACAGAATTCCCCAATCAACACTAAGTTCTGCATGCAGTCTCTTTTCCAGAACATTCTTTGCCTAGTGCTCATTAGTGTGACTGTCTCCTCAGCTATTCTTGGGTTTCCCTCCATAGTTCATGCATAACTCATTGTTCTGTGGAGTTTCAGGCAGTGGTCCGTTAGGCCTATTTTAGTCAGATGGAGTAGTATTTACAGATATTTCCATTTACAGATGGTTCCCTTTATTCTCTTGGATCTTTTCTGGTTTTTCTTTTCAAGAATGCTCAGAGGATGGTGGTATTTTCCCCATCATCCAGACCAGGGGTTGACAAACTTTTCTGTAAAGGGCCAGATACTAACTATTTTAAGCTCTGTGGGCCACATATGGCCTCAGTAACAAATTCTTCTTTGTTGTTGTTTGATCTTTCAAATGGTGTTTTACACCTTAAAAATATAAATACCAGTATTAGCTCTTGGGCCATACAAAGCCAGTGGCTGGATTTGGCCCACTTGTCATACTTTGCTGAGCCCTGACCCAGATCATCTTCTATGACTCACCCCATGTGATCACTGGCTTGTATACCAGATAATATGGCTCACAAGTCTACACAGAGATGGGTGGAGAGGAGCTGCATATGACAACCATTACTATTCAATAGGGTGCCCTTTATGACTTCTCTGTCTCTCCCTCTACCTATCTATCTATCCATCCTCTATCTATCTCTCATTTTCACTAACTACCTCAGCGTAGGAACCCTCATTACTTTCTTCAGCCCTCCTATCCTGATTATCCACTGTGCCTCTGCTTCCTCAAGTTTGGGGTAAGCTGGCAGGGAAGAAAGGATTTCTGAGATTTCTTATTTCTTTTGTCCCATCATTAACCCCAAACTGTGGTTCATCAGTCCCGCCCTGCCTCATACTGCCCTCATGAGTTTAAGGCTGTCTCTGGAGAGTCTGGTGGCCCAGGCCTTGAGATTCCAGTCCAGTCTACAACTTTCTATGGAAATCACCAGCTCTTGATTTGGTTCCAGTAGCTGGTTTCAAAATCCAGAATATCCACGTGTCCATTTTCTGATGTGATTTGGACCTGTTCCAGACTCAGCCTCAGCAAGAAAATCAATGAATGATGGAGGTATTCTGTGCCCTCTAGTTTTTTCTGCCCAAACCTCCTGTCTCCTGGGCCCCGGCTTCAGGGGATAGTCTCATTGGGATGCCCTGGGCAGCACCACAACCAGCAGGCATTCAACAGACTACCACCTCCTGTTTCCTGCACTTCTAAAAGGATTCCTTAAAGCTAATTCACATCTCTCTCCATCTTTCTCCATCTCTATCTCTAATTCTGTTACTTGTGGGTCTAAAATTCAGAGTCACATTTTAATATTTACTTGTATAAACTTGGGGAGATGCAAGTGAATCGGAATGTGTGTGCCTCTGTGTACAAGCATGGTTTCTCCACCTGAACTGTGAATTCACATTCCCTAATGTGTACCTCTTACACACATGCACATACACCCTATCCAGTACTCACAGCAGTTCTCTGGTCTAGATCCA